TCTGGTTAGGTTTCATTTATCTAACTTACAGAATTAAGATATCAAGTAATGTTTTACTTCTGTTTCTCATAGGATGGAGCACTAATAGCAACTGGGTCTGCTGACAGAAATGTGAAAATCTGGGGTTTGGACTTTGGGGACTGCCACAAGTCTCTCTTTGCACATGATGACAGGTAGCTGTAGTCTTTTCAAAGGTCACCCTTGGAGTCACCTGTATGCAGCATTTCCCGAGAGCATTTATGTCTATTATTTAGTGTTCTCAGACAGTGATAAATTGAAAGTTCTAAAATATAGCCAGACACTTAAGAACTAGCTAGTCGAAAGCTATTATGTTTGTAAGACTCATTTCACTAACATGGAATTTAATGACATTTGAATACTCCACTCACTTTGCAGTGTGATGTACCTACAGTTTGTACCCAAGTCTCACCTCTTTTTCACTGCTGGGAAAGACCGTAAGATTAAGCAATGGGATGCGGACAAATTTGAACACATACAGACTCTGGAGGTAACCTCTTGCCTGCTTCACTTGCTTGGTACTTAAGAATGTTTCATTACCTGCTAATATAAGCAGGTAGCAGTCCATGAATGAGGTATTCTTACTTGGGTTTTTGTTTTCGTTTTTTTCTTCAGGGGCACCACCAGGAAATATGGTGTTTGGCTGTAAGCCCCAATGGAGACTATATCGTATCATCGTCCCATGACAAATCTCTGAGACTTTGGGAGAGAACAAGGGAACCTCTTATACTTGAGGAAGAAAGGGAGATGGTAAAGACTTCAGGCTGGTTACAGATATGCTTGTGTGTATCTGACAGGCTGTCCCAGTTGAAGGTTTTTGTCTAGTGCAGTCATACCTCATTCAGTGCAATCCAAGATCCCACAGGAGATGTTTCCAAGACCATTGTCACACATTTCTGAAGTTAGGCAGAGATAAAGATGCCATTAGGGGATTGTGTTTTAAAAGAAGCAGCTCATCACTATCTCATTTCACTTTATATGGAGAGTATGGTTTTTTTCTCTCAAATTAACTTATATCTATCTTGTGGCAGCAAAGGGAAGCAGAATATGAGGAGAGTGTGTCCAAAGAAGACCAACCAGCAGTAAGTAAATTTTTGGGGATCCTGAGATTATGCCTTATAATTATGTTACTGAAATTTACTATAATTTCAAGAATTTCTAATAGAATTAGAATCGGGGCTAGATGCCAAAGGCCTCACCAGCTGATACGAGGAAGAATCTCTGTATTCCTTTTTATTCAACTGCATATCCTAATTTTGTGGGACAAGTGATTGACCAAATTTGGTATCGAATAATTGTCATTCTGGCTTTTTTTTCTTAAGGAGGATTTAGGGAATTATTTAGCTCGCTGTAGGACAAAAATAAAAATCAGAAAAAATTTGAGAAATTGGACATTATCTTTAAACATTTGCAGGATATTATTATGATCATACATAGAAACTGCTTAACATAGTGTCTAGTCCTTACTAAGTACTCAATTAACAGTAGCTAATAACATCATGTTATCATTTTCATAAAATAATAATGCTTATTCTCTGTATGTAAGATAAATTTATTGGCTTTTAACTCTTATTGACGATATTGGTCAAGGATCTCTTTGTTTCTGGCAGGTTCCAGGGGAGACTCAAGGTGACAATTACTTTACTGGAAAGAAAACTATTGA